TGAAAAACCGAATCTTGTTGGTTATGCTAAGGCGGAGTGAAGCGGAAGATTTCCAAATTGTTTTCAGGTTGATGAAGGCATATCTTGCCTTTCCGATTCTTGATGGCTGGCTGGTTGGCTCTGATATTTTCATCCACTCCGACTGCCTGTAGTTGAAACGATGCTTCCTAGCCAGATAAGTGAAGCAGGTAACCTCTGTTATATCTCTCCCGTTGATGGTGATTGGCGATGGTTGTTGTTGTTAGTTGGTTTTCTTCAGCACCTCCATCTTCTTTATTTTCACCTGCAGTCCTGTCTTCACCGCCAGCTTCTACACACAGTTTCTTGCCAGTTTTCGCCTGCGAGTCTTCGAGTTTGTATGACATTAGACATATATCATCTTCCAAATCCAGGTCTTCTAGAATCTTATCATCGGTGACCCAGCGTACTCCTGTCTCCTCGCTCCCATATCAGTCTGGCGCTGGAGTAGATCACTGACTCCCCAGTTGACAGTTTTGACAATCCACATCCATTCCATCTGCTCTCTCAGACACCCAGCACTTCTATACCATATCTTCTCATTTCTTTGGCTACATCGGCAGCTTTCCCAGCCGACTTCGTACATTGTACATACATTCCAAGTACCCAATTTTTCGCTTTCATCGAGGGAAGACACATCGGCTGACTGGCTTCCAGCAGCCAGCCCGCTGTGTCATTTCGCCTATCCTATTCCACCGAAGAATAAGATCATTCTTTGAATTTTTGTATTCTGATTAAATTTTTCCTGTGTTGAACTATCTCTAACAGTTTGGTAGGTTTAGTGGTGTAAGGCTGATAGCCCTACGCCCACCCTCCCTGTTTACCCAGGCTTGGGACCGGCTGGAAAACTAGCAAGCTAATTAACTAGGCATATCGATGTTTTAACTATCCTTAATTTTATTGCATAAATTTCCTCCTTAATTTTATCTGATAATTGGTTTAGTATTTATTAATTACATTTTCCTACTCAAATTATAAACTGCGCATCTTTCTCTAACTGCTCTGTAGATTATTTCCACTGATCCTGGGCAATCGATATTATTTTGCACAAACTAGCAATATTCTTAATGACGAATGTTCTAGAGTATTTTGTATGCATATAATTGTAAAGCCTGGAAGAGGAATGTGTATCGAGAAGAATATTCTCTGATTGAACTTTCTCTTTTTTCTACTGAACGGGATTTTCTGCTATATAATGAAATCTCTTGTCGGTCATTGTATTCGCTTTCGCCATGTTCAATATAATCAGCAATCTAGACGCACAGTTTTTATATCAGATTGGTTCGAGATATAGCAACTTTCACAAATTCGGGTGGTGGAACTTCACCATACAGATCAGATTACTCACACACACACACACACACCATGTGATCTCTTTGCTACTATCACTGCTGATGAAGAAAGCAAGCATCAATGCGTGAAACTATATGCTACGATGACCAGTACTTGTATGCCACTCATGTTAACTAGTAGTTTTGCCAACCAGTTCGAAATAGTCGATATTACTGAGCTCATCAGTAGTGTGCCCGATTTGAGATAATATGTGATGCGATTACATCATATTCGTAATTCTACAATGCCATTTGAACTATTGTAAGTATAACATCTAACGGCTGTGATAGTTTGGCATTAAACACCTTCAAATGGTGAATAGAGGAGAAAAATACAGTGCAGAAACCTCGAGTAGAAATTCTTCACACGAAACAGGGAATAAATGCTTGTCGGTTATCTTTACGGGGATCATTATTTTTTTTGCAACACCACTCAACCCCTACTTGTACAATTCGTGTATCCTACCTATTGTGCTTTACTACTCCCCACACCACACCTGCACCTTAGTCTTTCCTGAGCTACTTACTCAAAAAGGATTGTGTCACATTGAGGTGAGGAGGGTATTAAAGGTTGTGAGTAGGCCAAGTGATGTGCAACGCAGTCAGTCAGTCAGCTTGTTACTACATTAGTTAGTTGATAGACACGTGAACAACTCATGTGTGAGAAATGGTCTAAATCCATATTGTCTGACCGTCAACACCCAGCCCAGCCACTCCGTTCTCAACTCTCCCTGCCTTGTATCTCATCTGGTAGGACTAGAAGTCAGTACAAAAGATTATATGCTTTTACTAAGCAGTGTAGGAACTCAGTGACACTATATTCGGCCAGCCCGTGTTCTATGGGACAGAGACAATATTATGCGGGAAACCTATGAATTACGACGTTGTTAGCAAAATAATCGGTTCTTTTATTATCCCCTATTTGTAATCTATAGTGACACTATCTCAATTAAACTGACAGTCTTAACGACTAACATCATTATTATTATTCACAACTTTTTTCTTTGCTTATATATGACTACATTGTCACTACACATACTGAATAAGAACTGTCATTAGCAATCACCCCCGTAATATTATTTTCTTAAATTGTTTTTGATGCTATTCGATAGAATTAAATAAAATATTGTACCAAATGCTGAGAATTCCACACCGTGTATCAGTGGTACTGTTTGGGAATTAAAGTAAATTATTATTTATATATCTCGCGAAAACGGTGACATTTGGCATTAAATGTGTGTCTCCCGAACGATCCCACATTTCGTTACTGTTGGATAATATAATATATTTGAATTTCCGCCAACCATCAATATATAAATGGTGTCACCAACAATTGACAGTTCTCCGATGAACAAGTTTAGATCAACCGACCCCTCTGCAAAAATATATATATACTACAGCTAGTGCAAACAGTTTAGTTCGATACCACATAGTGTCGTCATAAAGTCTTCGAAATTCCTTAAAAATTTCCATCAATTTACGAAACTACAATCGAATTTAGAAACCTATCCTGTAGGCCTATGCAAAATCTCAGACATCAAGAACAAGATGAAACAGCAAAAAGATCCATCTATAGAAAGCCAGCATGGAACACACTATATACAAAACGAAACCTGATCCGTTTACTGAGCCACAGAATCTGCAGTCCTAACACTACGGATGAGGAGCTGAGAATTCTGAGAATACGCTAGTCCAATTGGGTTATCCTGGTAGATTTGTAGGGAGACACACGAACACCAAGTTTAATAAAGAGAAACTGACAACACAATTAAAAAGAGATAACTGTTCCTAAAGTTGCAATTTAATTAAATGGGGACGTTGCTATTGAAATCTTACGGCTAAGATTATCGAGAGCTATAAAACGGAGTTATACTGCCGCTGCCCTTTGTTCATCATTTTTCAGCCGACCAATTATGATCGCTAAAGTGAAAGACAAGCTACCTAGCTGTGTCACTTCTATGTGTATCTACAAATTTATCTGTTCCTGCGGAGAAAGCTGGCTATTTAGGGTGAACATCAACTAGACAGCTCAACAACCGTATTAATTAGCACCTTGCATCCCTCATGGATCGGAAAAGGCCAAGTAAAATTTATAAGAAGTTTTATTTTGATTCATTTGATTGATGATAGAGGTCTGCATGTGGACAGAAGTGCCTTCAAAGTTATCTATTGCACTCTATCAAACGGAATTCGAACCCGCCCTTTACACATAGCCGAAGTTTATTCACGGGAATTAATTCGAGGGAACAATCCTAGTTCCTGCATTCACGAAAATTTTGTTCTACCTTTGTCTCTCTCCCTTGGCCTAGGTGAATTCTAATTAGAAAAAGCCTCCCACCCACCCTTTCTTATTTCCCATATCTCTCGTACTTTTATGGTATTTATTCAAACCCTGATTATCTGTTCCCTTCACTCTTAGCATTACTTAACTTTTAAGATTTCACCTAATTATTTATTTATTGAATTGTCTACATATACACATATTACTACCTTCGTTATTCCAATCGCCACCTGCATAAACCGCAATATCATTAATTTGTTACCGTTATAATCATCGTTATTAATGACGTTCAAAACATTTACCACATTATTACTACTATTATTTGATCCACAAACTCACCGTCATTGGTTAACATTTTTATATATATAAGTCTGTGTAAATTACAGTAAAGCCTGAAGAAGATCTAATTGAAAACAACAGTACTGTCAGCTTATAAGTCGTGTTCTAACATTTATCATCAGCGTCATCATTCGCTTAACTAACCTTCTACCTACATCCTCCTTCATCTACTGCATAACTTATCTTAGCACTTGTCTCGAGCGCCTTCATTAACATCCAGTTTTTTCTGAACGTTTTCATATTATGTTGTCCCTAATCTAAACCTACTAATCTTCACCCCTCTAGTTACAATACTGACTATTCACCACAATTTTGAAATATTGTAATGACGTCAACAATAAGTCGAAACTGAGGTACAACGTTGCCCAACAGACTCCTCAGCGCGTGTCCGATCCATTTACAATTTTCTTCCGCATATTTGTTGCTTTGGCAATAGCTTCTTGATTGGTGTTCATTCCTAGAGTTCACTGATGCTCATTCACACCTTTTCAGTATGCAGCTAATGATGAAAGAGTCTGCAGTAGCCTGTTCGAAATGCTTTTCACACACCATGTCAAGTTTCTCAGCCATAGAGAAGCACTGAGTGAATTGAAAATCTGAAGCTTGTTTTTTGTCTCCAATTATGGATAAGATTTTATTTTGATAAATCACACAGTGTTGTTATACAGTAATATTAACTGATGACCACGACGTCTCGAGCACAAACTATTGCCACTCATAATTACATCAAGTCACTCACTCATACAACTTTTTTCCTTCATTCATATACATGTGTGGAATTGACTAGATACTTGAATAAAAATCAGTATGACATTATGTACATTCAGAAATAATAATACGAGTGTTATTGATCAAATACAACAATAAGATCGGAAATAAGACGTTTTTTAGTCTTAATAAGTAACTTGTTAGAATGTTGTGATGTGCTTGAATTGAAATAGAATATTAAGATTATTTATTATCCTCCTCTGATTTGACCGGCGGTAAAAATATCTTCCATATTTCTGGTATTTGCATTGAGTCATTTCTGTTGCATGTGTTGGGCGTAGACTCAATGAACCAGGCAGGATTTAGTAATCAGTCTCTCTCAACCTACATATATTACTTCTCAGAATTTTAACCTTCTATCACCATGCTATTGTGTGTTAATGCATGTAATGCAAATGAGCTTTTTTATAAATTACTCATCTTCTCGGGGTCAACCATTCTTACCTGAGCTAAATTCTTATGTTCCGACAATCTGATTACTCCCGATCAACTAGTTTGACCTATATAGTTGACCTAACAGTCATCCATAATGGAGTTATACTCTACCACTGTGCCCAAGTTTTATGTGCTGAATAGCGCAGATTTTTCTAGATGACTCTAAACTATATAGCAGTCCAAAACGAAACTACCTTAATGAACGGATTAATGACTTTGAGCAATCAGTCAGATGAGTCCGTAGTATGTGTATAGGCCAGTTTGTGTAGATGTATTCACTGAGATGACTTAAGGTGGGCACTTAGTGTGACTCGTTTATCACTCACATCTTGTTTCACTGTCTTCCCCAAAAGCCGTTGGTTGAATTACTATGGTTTCCAGTACGAGAATCGACTACCAACTACTGACAAAATGTGGATGATAAAACAAATTAAAATAGATGACATCAGTTCTAAATCTATTCCTAATCCTAGAGCTATTACCGAATGATCCAAACAGTACTTAAAAACGTGACCTGGGTGAAATTTGCCTCTTAGTTGATGAAAAGTGTTCATATTTGTGTTGTAGTAATGACAGGTATCCTTAGCCAAATAGCATGCATTCAAGGTCATTGGAGCGTTCACATCCCTTGGGACGATATTGTTTAACTTTTTCTATTAGAAGTTGGGAGGTTTTCTTGAAACATATACGAGAACGTTAGACCTACGTAAATACTTTTCAAAGTTGCATCACTTTTATATAAACGTCTTTTGCAAACAACGCACTTCTGCTTCGGACGCATCTGATTGACCGACAGAGACTTGTCAAGATCTTCTTGATTAGGTAGTTTCTTTTTAGCCTGCTATAGTATGTTCAGAGTCACCGATTTCCGAGTATTAAGGGGTCCGCCTTGCCCTTTGGTTGCTTCTGGCTAAATCTGATACATCCTCAGTCTGTAAAGTCACCCTGTGTGGTTGAAACGATGGTGTATTCTAGATAAATACGTGAACTTGTCTGCTTGAATGTGTTCACAAAACTACAATATTATTTCTACCAGAGAACATGATATGTAACTGTCTGTAACAACAAATTTGTAACTGGAGACGAAGTAGGCTGACTGACAGACAATAAACTGCCTGTTATGTTAACTTTTGAGTACTTTTCTTTCTTTTCGTTCCCAGTGGAAAATACGGCGGCTTCACAAGCTGAACCTTTACAAGTTTCGATAGCACTGGTTGGATTTTTGACGGAGTCAGAGTTGTTAGCCCCTTATACCCAACCTTCTCTCCTTACCGGTCTCACTTCCGGATTCGACAAGGTTTGCGGAGTACGTCGTTGGCCGGAGATCGAGCCCCAGGGATGACCACGTGCGTGGTTGACGAGCACGGTCTACAGCTTAACCATAGACAACACATCAAAGCTGTTTTAGCAGAGGGCGGTTTGAATATAATATATGATTAATATTATTATTAAAATTATTCATCTGAATGGAATCTTTGGCAAAATTACAAACACACACACGCACATTTTACAAAATGGGCAAGAAAGAAAGAAAGAAGACAGCTGTGTGTGCTAAAAGAGCAAGAACAAAGAGAAATACAGACAAATAAGTGCTATTTGTGTGTGTGTGCATGTATGTACGTATGTATGTATGTAGGCGTGTGTATGACAATAGAAACACCAGGCTTGTGATGTAAAGAATACCAATGCTCAAGTGTTCTTTGAAAGTACCAGTATCAGTACCAGCTTAATAATGAAAATGGACAGACTTTGGTTTTTGTGGCATGAAACTGTTGTCTGTTGTTGTTGTTTGTTTGTTTTTTTCACCAAAAAACAGGGGGCCCGTTGACGACGCGAAATTTGTCATCAACCAATGCTATGAACAACAACACCATGATAGTAAAATCACTTGAAATCTAGACACTGATGATGACGGGGATAATAAAAAGTTCAAAAAAACAACAACCGGAATTTAGAAAGGATGAAAATTTGTATTCGAATTTTTAAAAATACAAGCATAAACAAAAATGCAAACCTGTTAGCGATTAAACCAGTAATTACTATTGCCGTATACATAACGAAGAAAAATAGAAAGACAATATTCAGTGAAGAAAATGCTGCTTTATCGATGAAATCATTTTCGTAGGCTGGTTTTTTTTATTTACCAAAAATGTATAGTAGTGTAACAGCAGAAGACAAGGGCCAGGCAACAGATCGTTTATTTAGGAAATCAACAGATTTTCATGTACATTATTATAGATTATTGTTAGCAGAAAAAGTCCTCTGATTGGTTGTTTCTCACTGAAAGTTAATCTTTCATCTCTTTGTGGCTGTTTCTTGAATGTCAGATCATCTGTATGCTAACTGTATCCCCCTACGCAAAGTCTGCTGTGGTTGGTTGTTGAATCAGTCTTTGTTCTTATTTTTCTCACGACCAATATCAGGGACGTAAACATTGACGTAAATTACTGTCTACCAATTTGGTTAGCAGCCAGCTCTCACCATAGTAGTACATTTTTGAGTAACACGGGGTGGAGGTAACATTTATTTATTTTCTCCATAACACAATGGGCATGAATAACGATCAAATACATGTGTAAAACTTGAGCACTATGTTAGTGCATAACTCCATAGCAATTTGTTTATTAGATATCACACACACAGTAGGACAGTATTATTGATTACTGGATGACAAAGTTTCCAACACAATTATTTCTTGTTCATAATCATATCAGCAATTATTATCACTACACAACTTCGAAACTTTCGTTTTGTATTTAGCTTTCTTTATTCCATCCTGTGTGTTCAACAAAAGTACAACTAGAACACTTAATCCTAGGAGTGCAGCTATGCTTGACACCTATAGTATTTAAATTTCCAGGGGAAAAATACACAAACAAACTGAGGGAGTTGCCATGTAGCCACCAATATCCCCGGTTGTGGTGGATATATTCATGGCTTGCTGGGAAAACTTAGCGATTAAGACGCTCAGCCCCACCCCAAAAGTATGGTGAAGGTATGTGAAGATAACACATTCGCCGTAGATAGAAAACAGAACATAAACAGATTTTTCGAGCACATCAACTTGAAGGTAGGGGTAATTCAATTCAATTATGAACTTGAAATTCAAAATGGAGAGCTTGCACTGTTAGACTGTAGAGTTTAAAAAGGAAAGAAGATGGGAAATCAAACACTAGTGTTTCCAGGAAACTCACACATTCAAAGCGATAATTGGATTTTGGATCCCCAACTCCTATGTCGGTAAAAAGAGCATTGGTGAAATGTTTAAGTGACAATAGTGCAGAAAAACTAAGTAGTACCCAGAAGAATCTCAAACAGGAAGTGAGGCATATAAGAAAAGCTTTAAAACTTAATTTATAATTAACCTGATAAATTAATCAGAAATTATGTAGGAAAATGTAAAAATAAAATTATTAATAATGGTAGTGATAGCGATAATAATAACAATATTTAAGACGACGTGCATGACAAATATGCATGCACAGAATGATGACAACACCAACAATAGGGTGTTTAAGTCATCAGTAGTACTTCCATACAAAGAAGGGACCTCGGAAACCTCACGACAGAGATTTCTTAACAATGCAGGCAGGAATAAAAGTGGTTGACATTCAAACTACGCAAAAACTCAGAAACAAAATTTATTAGTCAAAGGATCCTGTCTATGGTGTCCATCAGAAAAACTATTTAGTTAATCTAATACCCTACTGTCATCAATTGTCTCCAGCCTTTATTGATTCTTACCATCTCGAGGACCTCAACCAGTCAGTCAGGAAGTTTACACCTCCTTGCATAGCTTAAACTAACTATTGTGGATTTCACTGAATGATGGTGAAGCCATTTTTTGGTTTGACCACAATGTGCTAGCTCTTTTCCAACCAATGTTAGTTAGTAAACAACACCCGGTGATAGAGGAAGGCGATAATTAGGCATAAATACGTTACACGTGTCCTAACAACCATCTCAATCGATGTAACTGATCCACAACCTCATCGACTGATTTCTCCTCTTGCTTCCTTACTTAGCACTCGACCGATGGCTCACCTCAATATTGCTCACCCTATTACACCTACCACCTACCTGACACGGGAGATAAAACTCAGACCTATGAATAAAGACACCTAGCAAGACTTTTCACGTCTTCCACTGTGTGTGAATGACCATGTCTCACAGCCAGCCAGTGAGGCATAAAGGAGGAAGAGGCGAATAGCTGCTGACCAGTAGACACGTCCTTCAGTTGACAGCCAGCCAGTCGGATGCCACGCCTATTCAGCCAGAGGTGGCTTAAGTTGTCTGAAAAATGCCAAACGAAGCTTTTGTATCCGTGCTGAGTTTTCATTGGCGATCAGATCAACCCACTAGGGCTGGCTGGTTGGCTGATGCAACGATTTCCCAAATAAGTGAAGTTAACGCAATACACTAAACACTAATAATTAAAAAAAGAACAACTAACCTTAAAATCTTTTCATTCACTCAAGTTCTTTGTCACTTGAAGAGACATCAGGAGTCAAAAGAGGAGTGTTTATGTGTCTTTGTGTTAAACCTGATGGTTTACTTTTCCGTTTCACTTTAGGATAAGCAGATATTGTAAGCCGATTGTCAGCAGAAAGTTTTGATTTCCATGTAGTCGGTGTGGATGGATTGAATGTCAAGTCTAGACCGAATATATCCTCTTCAGATGTTTTCTTCGTCAATGATGTATCAGGGACTGTTGTTTTCGTTGTTGTTGTTGCTGTGGCTAATGCTGCTGTTGACCTGGTTTTACTGCGATCTTCTGATCTTAGAAATTGGAGAACATCATCGCAAGCTTTTATACTGGCAGCTTCTAATGGGACAATTTCATGGCCTGTATGCAAACATAAAGGAAAGCGAAAAGCAACATGAGTAGCCTTCAAAAACAACTAACTTCAATTGCAATCTTGTCCATGGACTTTATAAAGAAAGGAATACTCATCTTGTTGTAGTGTGTTTTATCAACACACTGTTCCCCACTCCCGCCTAACCCCAAAAAAATTGGCAAGGTGGTTACCTTCTTATTTTTCTTTCGAGTAGAAAACAACAGACTGTTTTGTTACAGGATCTCATCATAAGCTGACATCGGTTAGAGAACCATTGGAAAACCAAAGGGTACTGGACAGTCAAATCCCCACAAACCAATACTTGAAAATCAATGATGCTCACTAGCGACTGGCGGTATTCAGGTAGGCAGTTACCTGAGATTCTAGGGGCACGTCATGACCAGTAGGGTGCAGCAGGTCGGGTGTGAGGACAAATAGTCGCCGAAGATATTGGCTAGAGGTTGCGCTATGTCATGAATTGGCAGAAGTTGGAATTCATGGCCTAATGATCTACGAGCTCGCCTTGCATCCAGAAGTTGTGTCAACGCCCGGTGGGTGCGAACTGATGAAGAGTCCCAGACTAGGACGAAACAGTTGCCAGTACTGCTAGGTTTTCCATGATGATTCTGTAACCAATTATTCAAAATCCCTACAAACCAATGCCTGTAAAACATACTGTTTTCAATGGAAATCGCTCCACTTTCTTGCTAACGGGGGAACTGTGGTGCCTCAAGGCTTTAGTCGTACTTTCTCCGTTCACATGATGTTCCCAATATTCTTCCAAAGCTAACCTCAATAAATATGCCGACGATCTAATCATTTCTGCCCACTAGTTTCTCTACTTGGATGTTCTTATATGAATAAATTCTTATCTGGTCTTAAACTGCATCCATCTTAAATGTCAGATTGTTGATTTCAGATGCGAAGAAGACTTGAGTGCGTGGACTAAACTCAGTCCTCTTATGATTCCTGTAATATATTGACGGCACTGTGATGACAGGGAGTAAATCGATTATCTCTCATCTCAGCATTAGTCTCCCTCCGAATCTCTCTTCGCCTCATATCCTGTGGATTTCTAAGAAAATTAGTTATTCCACTTATTACATGAAGAAGCTGAGACAATTTCTTCTGGCATAACTCAAATTCTCCTTTAACAATTCATTAATTCATGTATTCTGCCTATTCACCTTCTTTATTGTTCATCCCACTTATTCTTCCCTCGACTTCTCCAATAAGACTATATCATACCATACTACGTAGAACACTGAAGACTGTAAGTAGGCAGGGTTAGTGGTGTGTGTGTGTGTGTGCCTTTGACTCGACTCAACTAACTGACATTGTTATTGTCAATAGGCACTTCAATTCACTTCTTGCAAGTATTTGGTTAAAGTTATTTTTTTGAACCTGAACATCCTCTCTACTGCTTCACAACTTTTTCCTTGTATCTCTCCGGAGAGTGAAACCAGAAGAAACTTCATATAAGAATTTACGCTCGTACAGCTACTGAATATAAAAATACCATATTACCACCATCTTTAGCACAGGTTTTGTGTGCAGAAAGATTAAGATGTCAGAAAAGAAATTATAAACCTACTTATTGAATCAGTAGTAAGTGAACTGCATAGTGGGTATAAGCAAACATTAGTATTACATGTATTATCTATGACACTGTCTACTTATACTTCATTATGTTTCCACCAACATTGTGTTTATGGTGGTTTTATTACTAATATTATTACTACTACTAATACTATTTTAAATTTTATGTATGTACAAATTTATAAAAGGAGATAAATTGTTTCAGTAAGCATCAACAAAAACGTTGAAAATCCCATCATGTTAAATTATTATTGTTGTTTGGAATAAAGTGATTATTAGTATTATGAGTGCCACATCTATAGTGTGTGTGTGTGTGTGTGAGGGCTAGTGTGATAACTACCTGGAAATAGACAAAACGTCTGGATAAGAAAGGTAATAAGGAAATCACTATTTCAGAGAGAGATGACTTTTTATGATGGCCTTGAGAGAGAGACAAAGGCTGGATATATTTCTTCTGCATACATAGCTTAGGCTTGAACTTTAGGATCACTATTGCCTCCTCCCTCTGTTATATGCCTAGCTACCTTGGTCTGATGACTTCCTTCCCAGAGGTTTGATTGGATCTCGATAGAATCGGATTTTGAGAGGAAATGCTGATAACTTCCTGAGGAGATCCATCTATTAAAAAAAGCTCATATGAAACGGACACTTTAGCAATTTTCAAAGGTGTGGATCCCAGTTAACAGAAAGAGAAACTCTTCATATATATATACTCTCTTTCCTCAAGAATCTGGAAAATATGAACTGAGGAATGTATTGACGAAAAACTGCAAAATCTTCGAAGAATCTTGATGGGAAATGGTTTCCCGCCCAGATTCATAGGCAAGAACCTGTCACCAAAGAAAGTTGTTGAATACATCCGGGTCGCCGTCAAAAAGATTCAGTTGCTGAATCTCGAACATATAATTGGTACTGAAGCAGAAACTCTCCAAAAAACGGCTCCCACTGCTAACGTACAGCTAACATTTCCTTCCAAGAAACTATTCGGTCAACATGTGACACAAGCTGTTGCATCCGGCCAGTTCACTTGCTTCTGTGGAGCTAAACACGTGGACCATACCCCCGTAAAACGCACTCGGGAACAAAGTATGAATGTACTTGTGTATATACAGTTCGGTGACAGAACAATCTTCAAACTCACGACATTCAACTTCATTTGAAGAGTCTTTCAAAGTCCTACACAAACTCCAGTAAAACCTCTCAAAAGGAGAGTCATCAGGTCATAGCTGAGGCACTAACTCATTTGTCCATTAAAACAAGAAGAACAAGGTTTCTGGTTTAAAAGCAAATCTGCGCATTTAATATCGAGGCTTCTCTTTAACTGCATACAGTCAGTGTTATCAGAAACTAAGCATGAAGCTGGCAGATTTATAAGTGAGCAACGAGAAGAGCAACAGGCTGGCATGAAAATTCCAGTCGGTACAAAAGGAAACTAGTCAGATGTTATACAAAAATTTAACCGAAGATCCGACAATTTCATTTTAGTTAATAGCTTGCTTGCAACGAAACACGCTGCCCAGTAAAATCCAGTACGAGGATAACGTATTATTATATATACAAAAAGCATCGGTGGCTAATTTCACACAAAAACGCAACCAGCTATACAGGCAAAAACCAACCACTTGGTAGAAGAAGCAAGCAGCGAAGACTGGATTTCAAGTGAACATAGAAAAAAAAGGTGATGGACATGACCAACCAACAGCCACAACATGCACCAGTCAATATCAACGGAGCAATTGTGAAGAGGCAACTTCCCTCACTTGTCTAGCTAGCTAGGCACCATCGTTTCAACCACAGCCACATGGCACGCATACGAATATTAAAGTTAGTCAGGACTGGAAAGACAAGACAGACCTTCATCACCCTGATGCTATAAGTTTGGAAGCCTGCTGCAGTCAGCACTAGCAACAAGATTCGGATTTTCAACACCTATGTCAAATCAATTATCATTTCTAACTAAACAGTGCAGACCTTTATCAACAGTTGCCCACTTCGCTGGCTGCAAAACTGTAGCACATATAGTCAAAAGTGATTATCAACAACGAAGTCCTTACACAGAAATAACCGAGGAACTATCGAAAAAGCGACAATTATTCTCGAAGGAGATGGAGACAGACGAATATACACTGAGGGAACTGCTAAGTGACATCACACTCCGGTGTCAGGTCACCATTTGAGTGGAAATCGAGTGGGAAGCAGTAAGACAGGCGTCCGACAGTGATATGGAAGAGATCGTATGACGGCGAAATGAGACTTTATGGGCAATTGTGGAGCCAGGTAAAGAAGCCTCCAGAAAACAGAACGGAGTGTAGATTGGTTATTCACAAGCGGTATATTCCAATTGGAACCTAAGGGGAACATAACAATAATAATTTAGAAATCAAATGAGTTAAGTGCAAAACATAAATACGTAATTGTGCACAATAAGTTGAGAAAATAGGGCGACAGTAAAGAAAAGACACCAACTTCAGACGACCTTTAAAACAGCTAATCAGATTGTTCTAGGTGAAAAGTGGTACTTAGTCTGTAAAGAAAGTGTACTTATGACGTATATGTAATAGAAATGAATCATAGAAGGTACACATATCCCTAATATGCTGCAAAAACCGGCCGCAGTTTCTCATAGAAGTGGTTATAGACACATCAAACCAATGTATCCTTTATTTCTGCAGCTGCAGCAGATACTGGTCGCATATACGCAATATATTACTGAGGGGGAGTTTTGATTTCGAGAAAATGTCTAAAAATAACAACCTTTGTACGACTTACCAACTCTTAAAAACTCCTTCAAATAAAGTGGTTGCATCTGAATGCATAACCACCAGTAGGCCGGCAATACTTTTTCAGAGTCATTATCCCTCCACATATGCATGTTTTAGTCCATCCTATCAACCCATTTTCCACAAAGAAGTCACAAACAAAATCTAAGACATTGAAATGGGGATTATGGCTAGCATCCGATTGGCTGAATCAAGGTCATTTAGCTTTGGTGTCACTTGTTTACTCATGCCGGAAATAGTTACCACAATCAATTGAGATAGCTATTACACAGTTGTTTTTTGGATAAAAACAGACTTGACAGCAATTTCATATTAGTTTGTTCATTAGATATATCAACACAGTGAAACAGAATTATTTACTGGATGACGTTTCGAACAAAATCTGTTGTTCATAATCATTTCATCAATTATAATCACACGACTTCGAAACTCGAGTATTATAGTTTTCTTTATTCTTTCCTATTTGTCGTCGTTGGGGTAGTAGGATTTTCTAGATGTCGGCGTGGACAGGTGTTGAATCATTCCTATAACATGTATTTGCAGCTGACTGATTCGATAAATAAAGCTTCCGTTATCAACCTCTCCTTATTCGGGTCAACTGATTTAGATTTTGCTAGGTTTTAATGCTC